AAATAGTAGCCAAAAAATAAAAACTATAATTGAATTGATAAGCAAAACAATAAAAAAATTATTTAAAGTAAAGTCTTAAATAATAATTATTATTTAATACCTGAAATGAAAGGTTCCTTCACATGCAAGTGATAAACTTATAATTAAGGTAGCATTTGTCTGATTCATTGATTATTCTTCTGAAATGAAGGGGACGTTTTGTAATATTTGGTGGAGCAATATTTCCAAAGCCCATTGAAATTTTCTCATACGTGAAAATGATGTTTTCCTACATCTAACCGATCAGCATTCCATATTGATCGATGGAGACAAATGCAAAGAATTGACTAAACCCTAATAAAATTTAACAAATAACCTGAATTTTTATCACCAACAGAGGTTTGATTGGGACAACTTTCTATATATATATATATCTTATAATTTGGAAAAATTATTTTGTGCGGAGACAGCATCCAGAGACCAATTAGAACATGTCACGTCAGTTTTTTGCTCGATATCAGTGCTCGGCACTGCTCGGTATCGAGTGACGTGGCACGTTCTGATTGATCTCCGGACCATCCGATGTCCACACATAATAATTTCTTTGTAATTTGTGTTGCGTTTTAGAAGATTTATATAGAATTTATTGTCGTAGCATTGCATGTGAGCTAAAAAATAACGGAATTTTCGACCAGCTTTCCCAGGTTGGGTTGGGTCAACCTGGCAACCCGCCGGGTCGGGTCCGGGTTCGCATTTCCGACCCGTTTACATAACCGGGTCAGGTTAGGGTCGACCCGTTTGAAACCGGGTTAATTCCGGGTCCGACCCGTGACCCGAAATTGACACCCCTAGGTGCGAGCAAGATATTATACGAGAAATCATTCTTCACAAGTAGAAAATATGTTGATGCAAATTTATTATGTCTTCAACCCTCCTTTCCTATACGTGTGAAAGTATAATCTACTTATAGGTTTTTAGAGAAGGAAATTCTAGCTATTTCCACCATAAATCATAGCATGGTATCAAACAGCTTGTGCTGTTAGATTTACAAATGGGTCGTGGGTCGGGTCGGGTCAACTCGATAATCTGTGTTGTTCGGATCCGAGTTGAAAATCCTGACACATTTGCAAAATCGGATCAGGTTCTGATTGACCGATTTAGATCCATTTTGACACCCCCTATCTTATTGACTCCAAAATCAAATAATGTCCGGCTCATTAAGTTATAAAGAGAGTGCATTATAGTTTTAAATGATACTACAATCAGTTCTTCAAAATTTTTTATATAAATACGTACGATAATATCCAGATATAATTAAATGAAAAATTTAATTGTACGTCAATTTTACCACATAGGAAATTAACCTATTTTGCAGCTGCCTCAAATAGACTGAATAATTTTGACCGTTTGGTCTGTTCCGTGGAAATTTTTATTATTTCGTTACAAATCATAATAAAATCCGATCAAAGTTCTGACCAAAACAAATCAAATGGTATAACTTTCTTGGCTTTAGTCAGTCCACTTTCATTTATTACATTCAAGATTTCAAATCATGATATATTATTCGTCATTATAATCACTAAGACTAAGGCTTTGTTTTGGACGGCTTTTTATTGCTTCTTAAAGCAATTTTTTAGTTTAAAATTTTTTAATTTGTACTAAAAAAATGTTTTAAGAAGCAGCAAAAAATCGTCCCAATTGAAGTCTAAGGCTTTATTTAAGATGACTTTTTTACTATTTCTTAAAGCAGCTTTCTAGTACAAGAATTTTAGAAAGTGCTTTAAGAATCAGTAAGAAAGCCATCACAAGCGAAATCTTAGTTTTGGACGACTTTTTAATTATTTTGATTTTTACATCACAACTACAATTTTTATTTGACTATCATTTTTTTCACATTTCATAAGAAATTTTTGTGCAAGGAAATTGCTAGGTACAACAGCTTTTAAAAAAGTTATTCTCTTCAGAACAACTTTATAACTAACTTAATAAAAAGCTGCAGCCACCCAAACAGATCCTAAAGCTTCGTTCCATACAGCTTTCTTACTATTTTATATAGCTACCGCATAAAGTAACATTTATTAAAATTATTATATAAAGCAATTTCTAAGTACTAAATTGTTAAAATTTGTAGCAAAATATAGTCAAATAGAAATTATGATTGCGGTCTAAAAGTAAAATAGGTAGAAAATTCTTCATAATGAAATATAAGAGTCAAATTAGGATATAAATACTTATTCAATCGATATTGTTTGGTACAATAAGTTTTAAATTTTGATCAAATCAAATAAATCAATTTTTTTTAAAAAAAAAGAGTTTAATAACTTTTCATAGTGATTAATTAAATTTTACTGCTATAGCTAAAAATTAAGAGGCACATTAGCTATCATATCAACTGCGGGACGGCCCATTTATTGGAGGCCCACTTGGGCAGCCCAAAACTAGTTTATCATATTGGGCCTGCAAATATTCCATTCTGATGAATAATTGAGGAATTGAATTATTGAACTACAAATTGAAGATAAATAATTTTCACATTAAGACTTTCAGGAATTACAATATTAATGTGAAAATTTCAGATAATCATACAATATAAAATAAATGGATAAAATAATAATGAAAATATTTGAATTAAAACATTATGATCTAAATTTATTTTAAGATAAAAATAATACAAATCATATATTCATCTTAGAGAAAATTTAATAATTTCAATTTTTATTGTGATATAATTTTTTTTAAATAATAATTGTATTTGATTTATATTAAGGCTTTATTTGGGATGATTTTCTTACTATTTTATAAATTTATTTTTTAATACAAATTTTTTTTTAAATTAGAAATTTTTATACTTAAAAACTGCTTTAGAAAGTAATAAAAAATCTGCTCCATGAAACCTAAGTATGCACAACTTATAAATTATAAATTATGCATAACATTTTATAGCTATATAATAATTTTATTTTATTAATTAAATTATAATTTTGTTTAAGTATTCTTATTTTTTTGTTATGACTGTTAAAATATAATGTCAAAAATTTTTTTTACAATATTATATTTTAATTATTATAGCCATTTAACTGAATAATTATCAAATAAATATCATATAGATTATATATACTCTAAATAAATTATTTTAATTAGAATATTTTCTTATTTAAATTTTTTTTTTGTAAAAATAAAATATGTTATAATTTGGTTATTTACTTCCCAGTAGATCACTTATCTCAAAATTATTCTAGGATGAGTATGCTCCATCAACTGCTGAGTATGCTCAATTGCAAAGTATCTTAATGAAATTCCAACAATAACACAAAAAAGCCGCCTCAATATTTAAGAGTTTAGTTTATTTTACTAAGGGGTTTCACAATCTCCACCATTTAAGTAAATGCGTCCTCGTCAGTGTCTTTACCCAAAATCATCAACCAGGCAGATGTAATTCTAGATGACCCCACACAAGTTCAATTAGCGACTCCTGTTATGTAGTACTTTCTCTCATACAAGATTCAAGAGGTGGCTCCCATGGCGTACACTTTTGTCTTGTATGGCATTTATTTCTAATATTCCAGCTGGTGTATTGCTCTGATACCATTTGTAACAACATAAACTCTTAATTATCGAGATATTATCCGCTTTAGCCTAAGAGCAACACGGTTTTGTCATGTTTGTGTAACTTTCTAGTATGTCACCAATCCAAGAATTTCTGTAGGATGAACGCCCTTAACTACAAAGTTTCTTGATTAAATTCCAACAAATACACCAAAAGACGCCTAAATTCTTAAAAGTTTAGCTTCTTTTACTTAAAAATGTGATTCTTCTTGTCAGCTGCTATGCAGCATCATCCCCTGCTTCTCTTCTTTTTATCTCAGGCCTAACTTGCAGCAAGTTTTTATTTTTATTTAGCTATTTCGGCTCTTTTTTACTATATCTGGAAGGAGAGAAAATGAGAGAAAATTTGGCAAACACTCTTGCTGTATTCTTCACTGAAACATGTTATCTGGAAGGCTTATGCATCTCAAACTTATTAAATGGAAACACTCGCAAACCTTTCAGTTGTTACTCTGTCATTAATTCGAATTACCTGGACGCTAAGGTTTCGTTTGGGACAACTTTTTTTCTTACTTTCTAAAACGGCATTCTAGAGTAAAATTTTATGATTTAGAAAGTTTTATACTAAAAAATCGTTTTAGAAAGGAATACGAAAGCTGTCCCAGACTTCGTTTGAAACGTCTTTCTTACTGCTATTAAAGTAACTTTTTAGTCTAAAAATTAAGAATCCCCTCTCTCTATCGGGGGTGCGGCTGACAATATATTCTTCGGTCACTTGGGTTTTCATCTCTGGGAATTCCTATGGCAACCGGGTGTGCTGCTGACATTATAATTTTTGATCCCTTGGATATTTTTGCTGTTGTCTGAGTTCAAAAATTTTGGATTCTCTTCTTCTATGTTCTTGTTTTTGGTTTTCAGCTTTGTAAGATACGTGAAAACGTTGGAGTAGCTCCAGTGAAAGACAAGAATAGAGAGAGTTGTTTTAGATGATTTGGTCACATAAAACGGTTGCCTTACGATAATCTCATTAGAAAAATAGATACATTAGATTTGACTTATATTAAAGAAGGTAGAGGTAAACCTAAAAAAACAATGTTAGAAAATATTAGAAAGGACATTTCTTTATTAGATTTGATGAGAATTTAACTTTTAATAGGAAGAAATTATTTGGTACGGAGACCGGACGCATAATATCATCCGGAGACTAACTAGAATATGCTACGCCAACGGTACTGAGCCACGATACTGAGTAGTACTGAGCAGTACCAAGCCGCGGTACCAAGCGAAGAAGTGACATGACGCATTTTGATTGACCTCGAAACGACGTCAGATATTTATGTAGATGACCTCAGGATAAGGACTTGTTGTTGTTGTTGGGCTATGGCTCCACTCTTGTCTATTTCTTCCTTTTTAGTTATAATCTCTTTTTTTTATAACTTTTTTCATATCTATGCAAACCGGCTTGTGACTTAATTTTCAACAAAAAAAAAAAAAAAAAGGGACTGTTTCTTTCTTGATTGATGACAAAAAAAAATGATTGATCCAACTTTTCTCCATTAATTGATGCCGCTTGGTCTCGTTCTCTCAAATCTCTGTGTCTACTGGCGATGTCGACGAGCAATCTCGGGTGCGTCGTTGTCGCCGTCGACGTAAGCGAGGAGAGCATGAACGCTCTCCGATGGGCCCTGCGAAATCTTCGTCTCCGGTCACCGGTGGACGGCGATCTCTCCATCAAGCCCGGTGGCTTCGTCATCCTCCATGTCCAATCTCCACCCTCCATCGCCGCCGGTCTCAACCCCGGCGCTATTCCCTTTGGCGGACCAAGTAAGGAAACCATGAACGCGCTTCTTTCCTCTTCTTCGGATCCCTTTTCTTTTCTTCTTTAACCTGATATCAGCGCCGCTTTCTGTTTTCTCGGGTTCAATTTTTTTGATGAAGCCCAAGTCGAGGTTCCGGCTTTCACCGCTGCTATTGAAGCGCATCAACGGCGGATCACTGAAGCGGTCTTGGCCCACGCAGTGCAGATCTGCGAGGAGAAAAATGTGAGATTCGACCCCGTGTCTTGTTTTATCTATCTAATGATATTATATTGAAAATGTTAAAGACTCAGAAGGAAGTTTTAGTATGCGTTTTATATTCTATTAACTATATTAAATTTAGGAATTTGTTTAGCTGTTTGTTCGCATTAGTTCCCGCCAATCAAGAAACTGCCGGATGTTTGGTTTTTAGTCTGAAATTTGAGTGAGATCGTATTTATGCTGGGTGCTATCTACGGTGTCTCCAACCAACCAGATAGAAGAAATTGAAGCATAGAGGGTAAGATGGAAATAAAAAACCAGATAGAAGAACTTGAGGAAGAAGAAGAAGGAAAACTGAGACGAGGAACTTGATTTTCATTAATTCATTCCATCTCCAATTAGAGATAGTATATCCTTCTACTGTGTAATCAATCATTACTATCACTAGAACTGAGACAAGTGTCCAGCCCTCCAAATAACCTTAACAATGCAGCCAAATAAAAAGATGACAATGTCAATATGTAACAAAACTTAGCCTTAACAACAAACCATTGGATAAATTGTCACCCATACCCAAGCACACTATCCTTCTTCAAAAAGATAGATCCTTGTGTCAAGCTAAAGCATGCCTCTCCAACTGAATTTGGGTTTGTTTGATCGGTGCCTATTCCTCATTTTCTATTGGGTTCGCATCAGTTCCCTTGTTGGCAGTCCGGCCTTCACTTTAAGAGTTTAAGGTCATGATTTGGGTACACATTTGCATTTGGATATTTAGCACCCATGTAGCTTCATTTCTGGTAAGTCTTGCCATTTATTGAGGTGCTCGGTGGATGGCCAAGTATCCAAAAATATTTTGTAAGATTGCAGGACTCATTATGGTTACAATATGGGGCAATTCAGCCTAGCGTCATATGATATCAGGAGGTTGGCATTCTGTTCGAAGGGCATAAGGAAGAATGTGTGAAAAATCCTCTGTACTCGAGAGTAAGAAGGCAACTCTAGTTTGTCTATCACCTCGTCAATTTGTTCTAGCACTTTAAAAGGGCCAAAGTAATGCTGGTTGAGCTCAGAATATTATATTGAGCGGAGGGAGGTATGATGTTATGGTTGAAGCTTGACGAGGATGAGATCATTTATATTGAATTGCATATCACATATATATTCGCCGGCTTTGTTGCTTCATATGTCGCTGAGTGTATAGCAAGTTCTGGCGAAGTTGTTGCGGGAGGCCATCCCTCCATTGTTATCATTGTTGGACTAACATTTTACATGTTGCTTGGAAAATATATGATTTGAGAGATGGGGGAAGATGATTGTAAAGAGCTTTGATGCTTAGCATCTGTGGGCTTAAATTTTTTATTTTTGGGACCCTGGCCTTTGTGCATTGATTCAGAGAGAGTTTTACTAGATCTAGTTTCAGGGGAATTCTTTGGAAGGTAGATTTATTAGAAATAAGATACTACTTAGATATTTCGCCTTCATATGTGAGGAATTTCATATTTGAGTTTACGTTTCTCATAGGCACTAGCCCTTTTGGTTTATGCTCGCTTCCTCTCTTGATCCTTTTCTTCACTTGGTTGGCCCCCAGGTAGGCATGCACGAGAGCCGCACGCAGAAGACTTCAAATGTCTCAAGCCAATCAAGTAGAAGACATTGCAGCAGAGAGGATTAGATGGAAATATAGAGCACGAGGGAACAAGAAAGAAAAATCTACGGAAAAACTTGATTTTCATTAATTTCTTCAATCTCCAATAATGTCCAATATATCTTTCTACTATGCAATCATTACTATCACTATAATTGAGACAAGTGCCTCACTCCTCCTAGCAACCTTGACAATGCAATCAAATAAAAAGATGACAAGTGTTTATTTACCAAACTCAACCTCAATAACAATATACCTGACTTTTTATCACCAATTAGCCACCCACACTATCCTTCTTCAATAAGAAAGTCTTTGTGCCAAATCTATGTCTCTCCTGCTGAATTTGAGTTTGGTTAATCGGTGCTTGTTCCATATTGTCAATCGCATTTGTTTGGTGCACATTGAATGGTTAGGTGCACATTTAAGAAAGGAGAATTAATTTTGTAGGCCAGAAGAAGCCAATGATATGTTTGCATTGTTACATAATAAAAGGAGTTAAGCCTTGTGTAACTTCCATTATATAGCTCTTGTGAAATTGATATAACTACATCTAAATTTTCAGGTAGTTATAGTGGTTGAGCCAATATTTTTTTGTTGTGGTGGCACAAATAATTGATTTTAAAAAGACCCCTCAACCTTTCTAATTCGAGTTTGAAACTAACATTGGCGGTTTTAAAATTTTTTAAGGACATCATTATAAAAAGATAATTTACATAGAAAAAAAATTGTGGAGAATATTTATGCTTTATATTATGAATACATGCTACCTATAATTTCATTTTTTGAATTTTCATATTTTGAAATCATTGTACAATCATTTCATTATCAATATTATTAAATATATATTTTTCAATATATGTAATAAGATAATCATTCATTCAATAATCTCATATATGATTACGTAAGCAATTCTTTACAATCTTCATAGCTAAGAATGTCTGTTTGACCGTTGTTGTGGCAATTGACAAAATCAAAGCAAACTTTAAAGTATGAATACTAAAGTATAAATATCATTCTTCTTAACATTTATTAATTTTTTAGCAAGTTCTCAAATTTCTTTTAAATTTATGAATGCATCATTAGATTTCATACGAATGATAAAATTCTCAAGTTGGTTGTCTAATAAGATGATATATATATTTGAAAAATCTGAAGGATAAAATTTGGTTAGGATTATCAATCATTTTTTATCAAAAGTTGAAAATGAATCACATAAATTTAAGTATGCTACACACATAAGTAGCTCTATATTTATTTCGTCAAATCTATTATTGAGCTATTGATATTGCATATCCATCACAGTATAAAATTGTTCAATTTGATAATGATGTCTATTCATGATTGCTTGAACATTTCGCTTTAATCTTTCCCGCATTAAAAAGTATCATCTTTATTTAAAAAATTATATTAATTTTCTCACGAAATAAATGAATTTTTTTAAGCAAAGTGTTCTAACCATCGTCTCTCATATTTTGAAGCTTTATTTAGATACTTTTATCAAAGTCATAGCATTTATGATATATTGATCTTTTTTTTTACAGAATCTATGATAACTCATTTGTGACCCTCAATATAGTATTTATTGTATGCAAATTGAAAATAAATTCAAAATATTTTATGAAATAAAGAAGGATATATGCTTTACATTTTTGCTTACTGCTTGAACTATCTTGTATTATTATCTCAAGAATCTCAATGATAACTGTTTGAACCATCTTATATTGCATACAAGAAATAGTATAAATTTAAGAAAATTTTCTTAGTTCTCCAAATCTTTAGACTCATCATGACCATGAAAAACCAAACATATGCAATTTATATCATGGCTTGATTTATTAAATCTTCATATTTACATTTACACCAAGTAATATTATGAGTATTGTTAATTTGATCAATATGAAATTAAAATCTATCATACTTTTTTGAATTTCTAAATCTTTTTGTGTCAAAATTATTACTGTTTATTTGTTCTTCAAACTCATGTATACAAAGATAATATAACAAACAATAAGCTGCATCTTTTGTAATACTTTACTCTAATTAGTCTTTGTATTTGTCAAACCACACAATATTAAATCTTTGTAATTTATTTTCTAGGTGTATACGTGAAAAATCATGATTTTGAGACTGATATTGTTCTTTTTATAGGTAATATATTTGGACTGTATCTCTCTCATTTGGATGATAATTAATTTTTTTTTCTTAATTCAGGATCTAAAGGAATTTTTTCAAAATTGATTTTTAAATGAATTTATTTGAATTGAACATTATTATCACCATATATGTTATTATGCATATATATATATTATTTTTTATTTTAAAGTATCTCTCTATATTTTTATAATATTGAATGTCATTATGTATGAATTTGATTTAAAAGTTTTATGTCAGAGAAATAGAGAGAGAACGGGCGAGGAGAGAGAGGGATCTGACAGAGTTTTAGGCAATGTATATCGCAAGAAAAAAAATATGAGGCACAACAAAGAGGCGGAGGAGGTGAGCCAAGCTATTTAGGTTTAATTAAGTTTAAGATAAATTTTTTTAATATATATAACTCATCTTCTAAGCCTAATTAAACTTAAGCAGTTTGCTTTACATCCTTTGCCCCTTGGTTGTGCCTCATTTTTTTTCTTGCGACATACGCTACTTGTACCTTCGTCAGGTCTCTCTCTCACTTCTTACCCTCCTCCCCACTCTCTTTATTTTTTTGACATAGTTTTGTTTGAGTAAATGGATATATAGCGGCATCCAACATTATAACATTACATCAATAATATAAACTTTTTATGAGCTTGAGTTTATTTTTGTAAAAAAAATAAAGGTTATTGTTGAAGCAAATTGATGTTGGTGGAGGATTTTGGAGACAAGCTTTATAAATATATACATTAAAAGTTCACTGTTGAAGTAAATTTGTATTGGTTGAGGATTTCAAAGATAAGATTAATAAATATATATTTTACAAGTAATAAGATTAATTATTATGCATTAATAATTAGTCATATTATTATGTATAATATAAGCTAAAATACTTGTTATTAAATTAAATTGATTTGCATATTCTGAAATTTTTTTGAAGTGAAACAAATAATTAAATTCAAGTCGATTTGAACGATATGGAGTGGATTGCAATTTTTTATTGCATTTCAAGTAAAATTTTATTTTTTTAACATCATATTTGGATAATATAAAGTCAAATTATTTAGTACTAAATTTATAAAATAATTTTATATTAAATATAGAGAGGTACTTTAAAAGGAAAAGTGAAACAAATGTGAGTGATAACATATGTGGTAATAATAATGTACAATTCAAATAAATTCATTTAAAAATGAACTTCGACGAAACCTCTTTAAATCATGGATGAAAAAAAATTATGATTATCATCCAAATGAGAAGAATACAATACAAATATATTATTTACAAAAAAGATCACGTCATCCTCGAGATTATGATTTTACACATACACAAATAGGAAATAAATTATGAAGATTTAATCATGCGTGTTTTGATGAACACAAATGCTAGTTAGATTATAATATTATAAAACATTTAGCATATTGTTTGTTTTGTTATATTTATAGACCTGAATTTGAAGAATAAGCAAACGGTGTAGTTTGTACACAAAATGATTTAGAAATTAGAAAAATAATGATAAATTTAAAGTTTATATTGATTAAGTTAATAATGCTCATAATGTTGTTTGGCGTCAATGCGAAGATTTAATAAATCAAGATAATGATATTAGATATGTTTTTGAAAGAACTTCTGATCACAATCACAGAGATTATTGAACATATAATACATTTAACTGCATGTTTAGATTGCATTCATTTTATTTTACATCAAAGTTTGACTTTTGGTGGGGTCTGAAGATTCAAAGAACTAAGGAAATTGTCTTAAACTTTTACAATTTCTTGCATGCAATACAGAAGGTTTAAGCAGTGAGCAAAAAGGTGAAGCATATGCCCTTCTTGATTCCATACAATACTTTGAATTTGTTTCCAATTTACATATGATGAATGTTATATTGGGGTCACAAATGAGTTATCACATATGTTGCAAAGAAAGAATTAATATATCATAAATATCATGATTTTGATAAAAGTATTTAAACAAAGTCTCCAAAATATGAGAGACAATAGTTGTAATACTTTGTTTAAAGAAGTTTGTTTATTTTGTAAGTAAAATAATATAATTTTTTCAAATATGGATAATATTGTTTTGAAGCAAGGAAGATCAAAATTAAACGAAATATTCAAGCAATCACAAATAGATATCATTATTAAATTGAAATATTTTATATTGTGATGGATATGCAATATCAAGGGCTCAATAATATATTTAATGAAATAAATACATAACTATTTATATGTGTAGTATATTTAAATTCATGTGATTCGTTCTCAGCTTTTGATAAGGGAGGATTGATAAACCTAGCCAAATTATATTTGTTAGATTTTTCAAATATAAATCTCATTATATTAGACATAATTTCATCATTGATATAAGATTTAGTGATGCATTTATGAATTTAAGAACTTACTAAAATATTAGTATAAATTAAGAAAAATGATATTTATCATTTAGTATTCTTACTTATATAGCTTGCTCTGATTTTGCCAATTGTTATAATAACGAACGAGTATTCTCATCTATGAAAACTGTAAAGAATTATTTACACAATTGTATATGAGACTATTGAATGTATGATTGTCTGATTATATATATTGAAAAAGGTACATTTAATAAAATGTCACAATAATTTATCTAACAACGATGAATGATTGTCTGATTATATATATTAAAAAAGATCATGAAAGGATTGTACAATGATTTCAAAATATGAAAATTCGAAGAAAGAAATTGTAGTTAACATGTATTCCAACTATAAAGCGCAAATATTCTCCACAATACCTTTTTTTCTTATATAATTTATATTTTTATAATGAGGCCTTAAAAAAAATTAAAAATTGTTAATGCTAGTCTCAAGCCTAGATGAAAAATATTATCCCCACAGAAAAAAAAAAAACCTGGCCACTACTCCCATGATTTGTGTGGGAAGTTGTATACTTGAGCTATTTATTCATTTCATTGATTGTTCCCAAATGGAGAGGATTTATAGAAATACAAGGCCCCGAAAGACTCATCAACTGCGTATTAAGCACTGACACAACTTAAGCTACTCATTACAATTATTTAACGACCAACCCATGTAATCAATTACAAATTCCTATCAATTTAGCACTCGGAAGATCTCGGATGATTACCTCTGCTGGGAGCACATTTGGAGTGATGCAATTTCCACCGCTGTGGAGCTGATGATAGAGTCAGGAGTGTATTAACTATTACAAAGTCTTACAACGATGCATGACTATTCTAGACATTAGCGTAAGAAGGTACTGATGTATGAGCAGTGTGAAAAGGAAACCCTGGCGATACTAGTTGTATCTCTGGATAGTAAGTCTTGAACAGTCCTAGCTAAGGTGGGTGAAGAAGTACCTTCATGGCAAGTTTCAGTATTGTGTTGAAATCTTCATGGCACACAGCTCATCTTGGTTTGCTGGTTGGAGGCTTAGGCTACCAACCAAGAGGTCTTGGGTTCGAGTCTTGTGTATGCGATGTGTGCGTGAGTCTGTCTTAATTGGCCTAAATGTCCCAAAAAAAAAATCTTCATGGCAAGTTTTGTGATGTAAGAGAGGTTGCAGCTTCTGTTGTAACCTAAAGTAATGTTCCCTTATACATGGTAGTTGACCCAACAATGTTGTGTGCGGTGGGCTGCTACTAAAATCTACAACAAAATCTTATAACTGATTCTTTGGCATAATAAAGGGGGTTTGTAGCTGTTTGATTTATGCTTAATAAATAGTGGGTAGCAATGATTGCACTCTTTTTTTTTTTTTTTTTGTGATAAATACTTTAGGTGGTTGTGAATACTGAAGTGGTGGTAGGTGACCCAAAGGAGAAGATATGTGAGGTCATCACAAACTTGAATGCAGATTTGCTGGTGATAGGATGCCGTGCTTTTGGCCCAATTAAAAGGTAAGCCTTTCGAGTATGCCATTCTGGATCTTAGTTTGAATAATATTTCATTCCTGATTTTTGTGTGCTTTTTTAGTCATTGTTCTTTGGAACTAATTATCGTTTCACAACGCTAAGTTAGAATTGTCCGCGAGCTAGACTTCTCAAGAACTTATCTTCATCTTTTTAATCGTTATTTCTTTCCTTTTTTTCTTGTGCCATTGTCAAATGATTTGTTAATATTCAAATGCTTTGCTCTTAGTTTTCAGCATTCAGATGCAATTTAATTGATTTTTTTTTTACTTTCCTGTAAAACATCTCGTCCGGCCTATATTGTGACCTCTATTTTTTTTAAAAAAAGGATGATTAGTCTCAAAAGGAAATAAAAAATAAAAAACATCTGTAAAATTGGGTGGAGCTAGCTTAGCTACAATTCTGCTTCATAACCTTTTATTCCCTTCTGGGCGGTTTGGTTTCTATTTAGCTGATGATGATGTTGAAGCTCGAGTATGCTGGCTTCTATGATACATTATATTCTTCAAAAGAAACAAAAAATAAATATTACAATTAAAGAGGTAATATAAACAAATTAATTTTTAAATATGCATTTCAGCTGTCTCTTTTAAAGTTAAGAGCTTCTTACTAAGAGTGTTTGGAATGGATGCAACGTTTTATAAAGTTGATTGTGAAGTTAGTGTAGAGCAAATAACTTTGCTATTATGATTGTAGAAAACAATTTTTCACTATAATTTTTTTTTTTAAATGGTGAGAAAGCAATTCCCAAATGAAATTGTGGTTGTCGTCTTAAAAGCAAAGCAGCTAAAAAGCTCTACCAAACAAAAGCTAAGTTTTTGACATTTTCATAGTTTAGTCATTACATGACCTTTACTTCATTTATCTCAAATGTATGTATGACACATGCTGAATACGTGTGGTATCTTGCATGTACATTAGTTGATATTATAAAGCATCATAGAAGAACATTTAGCTAATGCAATTTAAATCATTTAAAGTTTCTTATATATTAACCACTGCAGGATGTTCCTAGGGAGTGTTAGTAACTACTGCATCAATCATGTGAGCTGCCCCGTTATTGTAGTAAAGGAAACCTCTTAAGCAAACTTTTTCATGGAATCCATCTTCTGCCTTTGTGCATATATATCAAGTTCTGTGCCGAATCTTCTGGCTTTGCTGTGTTCTATTATTATGTTCCTTATTCTTTCTTTAGCCCAAGTGGTTGAATTCTATCCTATGTTGCCGTATAATAATAGATGATTGTACAGTTCTTGATTCAACTATTTTGTGCCTTGAAGAAAATTGTCCTGCATAGTCTTTGGTGGACAAAATTCTAAGACAGCCTTCTTTGTTCACAATTATATGATAGAAATAATCTCTCATTGGTTTAAAGTTGAAATCTTAATATATATTCATGGTTGAATACTAAATCATCATTTTTAGTATCTTCAAAATATTTATATAATTTAAAGATATATTAATTTTTAATTACATTGAATTTAATAAAATCATTATTTTTTAAAATATATTTTTTGGTCTTATGGCTCATGGAGGAGAGATTATTCTGTGCAGAGACCAAACGGTGAGAACCGTCTGGATTTGTTGCATTTTAGTTGCTTTTTTGCAAATACTCAACGAAAGGGCAGTAAATATGATTCATGAATTGCATTTTTTATGCTCTTTTGCAGATCATGATAGTTTGGTTATCACTGACTTGACACTATGACTGTTGTTGCTATTGCCATCCATGAGATATAAGAAATCATGGTCATATGTGATGTGAAACGTAAATGCCATGTACTTGCTTAGGTGACAAGATTAATTAAATTCCAAATCAATTTGGGGAGAGAGAATGAAAATCTGAAATTAAATTTCAGATTAAGTGGAATTGGCGGGATGAATTTGAATTTAAACTCAAATTTAATGGGGAGAATTAAATCGGATGAGAGAGAATTGTGGGAGGTAATTATGGAGGCTTAATGAGGGGGCCTATTAATGAGATAGGAGAGAGATTATGCCCAATGAGGGGGCCGACCACATGAGGAGAGAGGGGTGAGTTTTGGAATAAGTGGGGACCATTAATTTAATTTTAGATTTTACAAAAATTTGAAATAAATTTTCAGTTTTCTTAAGCAAAGAAAACTTTCATTTAAGAGGGCAATCAATTTAAGCAATTTGAATTTCAAATTTGAAATTAAAATCAATTAAATTGATGGCGTAAATTAAGAAGCTACTTTTGGAAACAATTAATGGCCCATAAAATATTTAAATTTCAAATTTTGAAATTCAAGGAGAGGGAAGCCGGCGGCTAGAGGAGGGAGGAAAAGGGGCGGACACGATGTGGAAGGTGGTTGGCCGGCGGGAGGCAGTGGCCTGGAGGTCGGCGGCCTGAGCGGGCTGGAGGAGGGGCGGCGGAAGTGCTGGGTGGAAAACGGGTGAAGGGATGGGGTTCAAGGAAGAATGCGATCCGGACGGATTCTCCTTAAATTTTCACACTAATTGATCGCAAAGAAAAATTGGAAGGTCTATAACTCACAAAGAGATCTAGCTCTTCCCAAAACTCACTAAGAGATTTGGGAGAGGGATGCACTCACAAAGAGAACACAAAGTAGATAACTCACTAAGAGATCTCAAAAGAAAAAGAACTCACTAAGAGATCTAAAAGATGAAACTCGCAAAGAGAACGCAAAAAGCAAATTTTCATTAACAATTCATCATCTCATTACATAAGAAAGGGCCTCTATATATAGGCCTAAGAAACTAAAACAATACACATATCTTACATAAGACGACCCTCTTAAGTGAGGGTAAAAACGGAAAATTCATAATAAAAATTTAAAAATCACAAATAAAATATAAGATAACGTGGGATGATGACAGCCATTGATCTTCAGCTCCTCGGATAGTCATGGACGGTTGGATGTCCGTATCAATATGACTTGTGCAGTTGTGCTTAATGCTGTTGTAAGCTTATGATTTGTTGAAGATGAAAAACAAATGTGATATACTATCATGTTTGTTCAAACATGATTCAATAACACAAGGACTAATTGAGTCACATCTATATAGATATAAAGTGAAAATTATTCTATTTTAACTAGAGAAAACATTGAGTTTTGAATCTTCAAGCCGCATTTTTAGGCATACAAAAATGACCTTATGAACAAAAAATTTGGAAGAGTTGTCTTAGAACATCAGGTCTCAGCAGTTAACAGGTTCTATATTGCTATAGGTAATAATTAGGTTCTTCATGGTGATTATAGCTTCTAAGAGATTTGTCATGGCCTCACCTTAGCACAAGCCCTCTTTTCTATCAATGAAAGGTTGAAAAGTTTAATTATCTTTGAGTGTTTTTTTAGGGGAAATTGAGGTCACACCAAGCATATTCATTGATAAATTTTGATTACACAAGCATTATAATTTTCATAAATAAGAAAACTACCAATAAGATTGGTAAAGCACGTTAAAAAATATTTCATTTATATCAAAGAAACGAGCAAAAGTCTCATAATAACAAAAAAAAAAAAGACTCATTATAACCCCAAAACTTATAGTAATCATCACTCCTTGACTATGACAGCAAAAATATTAAATCTGCTAGCCTTGAGATCCAAAAATTGATAACAGAAAGCTGTCCCAATAAAACTAATGAAGTAGAAAACCATCCTCCAAAAACATAATGTGCAGCCAGTAGATAATCAAATAATAATGAAAACCTTTAGTAATAGCAGATTGAAATAAATTATGGTCACGACAAAAGAAGAAATGCATAGAAATGATCTCCCAATAATCCATCCACAAAATGCCTCAGAATGAATATCAAAAAATAGTATAAGTAACAGCCCTCCATATTTAGACAGTCAATCATAGAAAATCATCAGAAATATAATCAACCCTAGCATGTGAAAGGGGAAATTATGTATTGATACAATAAGGAGAGAAATGCATTAACACATAATAATTAATAATTAACAACAAGAAGGCATAATAACAAACAAGAAGAAATATATTTCAAAGAACCTCCATTTGTGGGTAAATCAATGAAAAAATCAACAGAAATATCACATGACCATCCAGAGAAACAAGAGGTCAGAAAAACTTCTATAAAAAAACTAGAGGTATTATAAAAAATCATAAAAGCTGAAATATATTAGGTATGGACCCTATGGTTTGAGAAATTATTTTGTGCGAACACCGGATGACATGGCGCATCAGGAAGCGCCATGCCATTTTTTTCTTGTGTACCAATGTTGTGTACCGGGTGATATGACGCATCCTGATTTGCCTCTGAACCGTCTAGTAACCGTACATAATAATTTCTCATATGGTTGAGTGCTTCCTTATGTGTTTCATTCATCTTTCTTGGAAAATGCTATGTTCCCCTATTCATAGCCTAGAAAACTAAATAATATATTGACAATTGATATGACAGTCTCTATTTAGAGAAATTATTGTGTGCGGAATCCGAATGCATTCGGATTCCAATCACCATGCGTCACATCATTGGATGCACTGGGCCCCAGTGTACATTTGATGACATGGCATGCTGTGATTGGAATTCGAATGCATTCGGATTCCGCACACAATAATTTCTCCTCCATTTAACATCCTGATAATTTTTCAATACAGTGTTGACAACCTTTATTAACATGTTAACATATTGTCATTTAAAAAGTGACCATTGAGAACCTTGTTTAAGACTTAGAAGTGACCATTAAGAATCCTGTTTCAAATCGAAATAATAATAATTAAAAAGGCTATTTTGTTCTATAATAATTATGCAACTGCTGCCAAATTTTATCTGCAACCGCCCCCAAATTATCCTGTACCAAAGTGCTTAGATTTCTTCTATGAAAGGCTACAAGGATTCTTCACAAAAATTCCGATATAACAATATAAAACATATTTTTAAAACTTTAGCTGGACGAAGTAACATAAAACTTGCTAATCAATCACTTGTTGGTTAATAATGATAAATTATTTTCTGATATCGGTTTATAACTATTTTAAGGCTTCGTTCGGGATAGTAATTCTTATTGCTTTCTAAAAAAAAAAATTAGTACAAATTTTTTTTGAAATAGTAAATTTTATATTTAAAACTACTTTAGAAAGCAATAAGAAAGTTGTCCCAGCTGAAACCTAAATCTATTTTGGCCATAGGAAATTGATGGCTCATTTGAGTTCTGGTATAAATATTCAAAACTAAGCATAGCTAAATACTTAGCTGATGCTTCTAAAGGTGAGCTGATAGTCTCAACCGCATAATAATAACATCAAGCTTCTAATCCATTTAGAAAAAAAATATTCATGGAGGATTGGTAGCTTTGATAAATAAAATACAAAAAAAAAAAAAAAAAAAAAGATTTCAAGCATGGAAGGCAGACTTTCTTTCGAGTTTGTGGAAGTGATTTCAGTACGCTTGAACTGTTTTTCAGTAACATCTTCCATATTTAAAGCAACCTAATACAAATTGAATAGCAGTTTACAAGGTCGAGAGACTATCATTTTTTACATCTCTTCAATATAGTAACAAATGATGATTAGCTGGCAAATTTGTACTGAGGCTTCGTTTGGGACGGTTTTTCTTATTACTTTTTAAAGCAACTTTCTAGTAAATTTTTTTTTTTTAATTAAAAAATTGTTTTAAGAAGCATTAAGAAAGCCGTCCCAAATGAAGCCTAAGAAGGAAAAACAAAGAGGCATTAAGCATCATCAACATAACCAACATTGGCTTTGCATAACTATATAGGTAAGAACCTGTAAGAGTATAAAAAATAATTTCCAATGATAGGAAGCAAATTGGACATCAATATATAAGCAGGAAGGGTACCAGCAGCATTCTGAGTCCTGTAAGAATTTCAGCACACCACAAAATAAAGGTGCTCGAAATGGACCTAAAGTTATAAGTCTTGCCTAAGGTAAAAGATTTTAGAGCGTCCAAAGGTTCCTGTTATAGCTAACCATAGGCTTGTAAGAAGACTGTCTGGTTTTGTGTTGAAAAGGAGTTGCCCTCATAGTGCTGTGATAGGAAATACTTGAGTTCGCAAGTAATCCTATCGGATGTACTTGAGTTCGCAAGCAACCATAACAAGAAATTGATAAAAAATAATGAGAAGACACAAAAACGATAATGAAAGAACCCAAAATAACCTTAGATTTTTATTAAATACGCAAAGCAAAGCAAACATAGGAAAAGATGCAATTGATCCTCTATTCGAGAGGAGGATCATTCTCTCCCAATCTCTAGACACCAAGTCTAGAGCCCAAGACACCCAAGAGGCTCCAAGAGAAAACAATATTCAAGCATGCCCTATCCCTTCGCTCTCATGCCTATTTATAACCTTAACCGCACCCCCCCCTGCCAAAAATAGATTAATTCCCTTACCAAAAATAGATTAAATCAAATAGATTAATCCCTTTGTCAAAAATAGATTAATTCAAATAATAGACCCCATTATTAATGGGCGGCAATCAAATAGGCCATGGGCCCCTATTGCTTGGGCGGCAACATGGGAGGAGGTTTGACCCGTCTCCTGTAGACTAAGGCCTGGCCGATGTGGGGCGGCTGGATCGGTTCAGGAACCAAACTAACATGCTGATACCGTCATTCTACTTCTTCACAAAGTTGCAAATGACTGCTATCAAACTCAGTTGCTAATGGTACCCATAATGATCTCTCTCTCTGAATTGATACAAATAGAGCAATAGAAACAACACAATTATAACCATAATCTCCTTCTGAACAATTAGCATGAATGTCAAGATAAACTTCTCATTCAGGTAGAACCCATTCAAGAAAAGTAGAATATTACATAAACATGAGCCTCTTGTTTGTAATCAATCAAGTAGGGTTTTTTGTCGAACTTTTTTCAATGTATTATCCTTTTCTTGAAGCACTCAGATTCAACAGAAATTATTATCTGAGGTGAGCTATGTACAGGTAGGTGTAAACAGGCAAACATATTGTATGATACAATTTCATTTATATAATTGTGTAATTGAACTTGATTGATTGTCTGCACCTACAAATACCACACCGCATGCAATAGCTTCTAAATATTTAGGCTTCCTTTATCACAGCTTTCTTACTGCTTTCTAAAGTAGCTTTCTAATATAAAAAATTTTTGCACTATAAAGCTGCTTTATAAAGGAATAAAAAAACTGTCACAAGACGGCTTTCTTATTGCTTCTTAAAGCAAATTTTTAGTACAAAATTTTAAAATTTTATATTAAAAAGCTGCTTTAAGAAGCAATAAGAAGGCCGTCCCAAACGAAGCCTTAGTGAGTAGAGTTAGAAGCTTGCTTTACATTGGAATTTGATTGCTTACTTCTAGGTTAACCTCATCATAGAGCCCATAACTAGAATTCCTTCATATTCTATCATCTAATATCTGAAAAATACCATAACAAATTCAAGAATGACATTTGCCCACAATTTTCAAGATTCACTAAATTCAAGTTAGCATCTCAAACTCCAATCAATAACCTCATTCGAGACTTGGACATTCTTTGGGGCGGCTTTCTTGCTGCTTTTTAGAATATCTTTTTAATAAAAAAAATTAATTTTTATACTAAAAAGTCGGTTTAAGAAGTAGTAAGAAATGGTTAAAATCAAGCCAGATAACAAATTAGCAGCAGTCTACTATGAATAGCTATTACATGAGGAAGAAAAAAAATGTATAATCAACAAATAATTGTAGAACAAAAAATTTAACCTACTCTCCAGTGTCAAAATAATTGGCCTCGATGCAAATGCGATTCAAAAAATTAGAATACTTTGCGTCACATTTTATAATGGCATCAATTTAATTGGTTATTTAGATCTAGGGTTTCCTTGCGGTCCCTGGATCACACCATACAACAATAACGAATCCTAACAGGAAGAAGTAAAGCTTACAAGACCTCGAAATCGTCTTCCCTGAGATGGGCGAAGAACTTGATAGGCTTCTCGTTCCCCTCGACAGGCAGGAGGAACTCGATCTTGTAGGGCAGATTGGCAGACACGCGTTTCCCTTTGTAGAAACCAACATACTGCCTGATTACCCCCTCCATCCCGCACAAGTCCAGCCCCGGCGCCTTCGCAACATGGAAGACCTTGACCGGCGCCTTCACGCGTATTCTCGCCCCAATCTTTACAGCCGCTTCAACCTCCTTCGATTCCACGGCCTCCGGCGTCGACAAACGGGATACATCGGTGGTGAGCGTGGCTTTGCACGAAATGGCCCTCTTCACCACCGCCGCCGCCGCCGTTGGAGTAAAAACGGATCGCGGCGCCGCCGTCGTCCGGAGACAAAGGGATCGCGACCGCCTGAAGATCGACGCGGCATTGGCTGAAGATGATGGGGCGTTCGCCGCAGTCGGCATTCCAGGTGATGTCACTCCCTATCTCTGTTCAATCTTCTTCCGCTCCTTTCTCCGAAGTCCGAACTGCAGATGCGTGGTGTGCGCGTTTGTTTTCCTTTTTGGGACCTTTCACCAAACACGTAGCCTGCGCAGGAAAAGCAGCCCAACGCCGTATTGACTTTCTGAACAGCCGATTAACCCAAAGACTCTTTAATGTTAGTGTGTTACAACAATTCTCCATATGTTAAGTTGAGAGAGGTCTTTGTGTTTAATTACAAGTAATAGACCGCGCAAGGAAATGCCCTCCAAACAATGCTTATAAATAAAGAATACATAACTATATTTTAGTTTGTCATCATGTATGGACTTACAAATTAAGGCTTTATTTATGGAGAAAGACACCGGATGTCATCCAGAGGTTAATTAGAATATGTCTCGTCACTTTTTTGTTCGGATCGGTGCTTGGTACTACTGGGTATTGATACTCAACACCAGTACTGGGTGACGTGGCGCGATTTCAGCAAACTTACAGTCAAACTGAGCGTCTCAGAAATACAAACCCAACGACACCAAATTTGACTCAATCCGAGCCCAAATGAGTCCAAATCAAGGACCCAAAGCGTTGTTGGAAAGTTCAAACCACAATTTGAGTTACCAAACGGTCTCCGATTTTGGCGAGCTTATAGTCGAATCGAACGGCTCGACGAGACGAATCAAACGAGCCCAAGATCGCTAGATTCCGACATCACTAAGGTCTTCAAATGGCTGACAAATGGTGTATTATCAAAGGATTCAATATCAGTCGTCCATTCAACCACCCTGTTCCCCCTGATCTCACACCTATTTACAAGCCATGCCACTCCTGAAAAATTATAAATTGAGCCCTCATTCTTCACAAGACGACTCAAGTAAGAAGGGAGAAGAAGCAAGAAGAAGAAGAGAAGGGGAAGGAGAATCAGCTCCTCATCGACCACCGCCGGAGTTCTTCCTGCCGCATGAACACGCTAGAATTCTGCCTGACTTCCACGGGACGCCAGAATTCTGCCCAAGTTCCACGGGATGCTGAAATTCTTCCCAATTAATGACATAGTTTCTTCCTCACGTCGAAACTCCGCCCAAGTGATGTCGGAGTTCTCCTCGGCCACCAACAGACGTCGGACTTCTACCAGACGTCGGACCTTCACTCTTCGCCAAGTTTCTACCCGACACCGGACTTCTACCGATTATCGGACTTTCGTTGGACGTATATTCGAAGATGGGTTTCTTTCCATTGTTGGACTTCTACCTGACGCCGTCTTTCTAACCTTCATCGTCAGACACATTCCTTCCAGCCTCCATCACAAGGCAACGGTCCTCCTAACTCACGTCGCCCGCCGATTACAATCTTTCTGACCTCTGTCGCCCGCTGACTACGATCCTCCTTACTTACATCGCAAGTCGACTACAGTCCTTTCGACCTCCATCGCCAGCCGACTACGGTCCTCCTGACTTACGTCGCCCGCCAACTACAGTCATTCCGACCTCTGTCGCTCGCCTACTACAGTCCTCCTTACTTACGTTGCCCGCCGACTACAAGCCTTCCGACCTCCATAGCCCGCCGACTATGGTCCTTCCGACCAAACGAACATGTCAACAATAACTCTTTGTATTAACATCATGTAATGTACTCCATAAGATGTGCATAAAGCTAAGGCCTTCCCCCAAGGAAGGACCTCATTTGTAATCAACTACAATACTAGTGGATTCTTTCAAACTGGGCTAGACCCTGTGATTTTTTCCCATTTTCAGGGGTTTTCTACGTAAAAATATTGGTGTATCATGTGAATGCTAGACTCTCTCTCCTTATCTGATTGCATGCCAGATTTTCGTTCAATGCCGAGGCGATAAACTTTATATTTCTCCACCGCCGCGAATACTCCTGGACGCAACAATATTTATCAATGTTCTTATCACATTGGATTAATGAATAATCATATTTCTTAAGAAAAATATAAATAGTATTTGAATATTATTATTATTTGAAGGAGTATTAATAAATGACCTAATCCAACAACTTGATTTGTTTAGTTGGTGGGTCTGATCCCAAAAAATTTATTTGACCTCAAAGTGATTTATTTATTATTTTTTGCTTATTGATATGCTCGTTTTATTTTTAATTAATTAATCCAAATTTTATAAGTAATAACTATAAAATATTAATCAAAATGAGATTAGGTTTAGGTCATCGATATTGCTAGTGAGTATGGCTCAGGTCAACTTGATTATGATCGAGCCAATTTTAGTTCCAGCTCAAACTCAATCCGTTAAATCGTTTTGACACCCTTTTTTTTAGGTGAGACCGTTAAATTGAAAAGATTGACATTTGGTTATTTAAGTTTGTTTTTAATCTATTTCATCAAATATTTATGTGAAATTATTTATTTTAGATTTATTTGTTTGTTTGTTAAGTCTAATATTTATGGAGATTCTAGTGATGTTTATTTTGATAGAATTCCTGCTCATAATTATTCTTATGCACTTTCCAGTTGAAAAGATGATTACATATAGGCTATCTCTAGCTCGACTCGATAAATAGCCCATGAGCCTGCTCGTTTAAAAATTATTAATTTTTTTAAATTATTCTTATTATTTATTATTTATTTTATTTTTTAATTATTAATGTAAAATATTCTTATCATATATTAGGATTCAAGATTTAAAGTACAAAGTCGTTAAAAATATTTAAAATTTATAATTCACTTTCTTAAATAAAGTGGTTTTTTTTATTTTTCTTGTAATATCTCATTCATTATTACCATTTTATAATACTTAAATCAAAATAATTTTTTTTTTCTTTTATAATAAAAGAACTAACTTGAGTTATTAATCAAGCTCAAGTTTGAGCTCAATCTCGAGCTTTATTTTAAGAGTTTGAGTATCCTCTCGAGCTGGATCATTTATCTTGAAATAGAGAAAATGCTTAGAATTCAATCAGTTATTATAATAAAATAGTAAAAGTAATAAGAAATTAGAAGAAAAATAATGAAGAATCACTTAATATAAGAAAGGAAGATGTAATTTATAAATATTTTTAGCAACTAAGTCAGCTACCTAGCTAATGAGTTGATGGTTTAAACTTGACTTGTTAGCTCACGAGTTTGACTTACAAGTCATTTATTAAATTGGGTTGACTCACTTACACAAATAATTAAGATAATATTCTCCAAGACTCATTATTGAAACAATAGAAATTACTCAATATTTTCGAGTATATGCATATTTCATACATGCATTATTTATGTAGGATAAATTATTAAGTGCTTAAATAATTTAAATTTTAAACTATTAAAATTCTATTCAACCTTAAGAAGAAATATAAGAATTTTACTTTAGGGCATAAATTGATAGAATTTCATATCATTTTTAACTAATAGTAAAAATTTGTAAACTTAAGATAATATTCAATTCCAATTATTTCTACTTAAATCATAAAATCCAAACAATATTTCCATTGAATAAATGAATCTTCAATCAATCAAATGTGCTATTAATAAAGTAAGGCTTTGTTTTGAATTGTTTTTTGTCATTATTTTTTTATTGCTTTTAAAAAATGAATATATTATAGCACTCAGAAGCAAAATAATAATAATAATAATAATTGCCTTTTAAGTAGGCTAGTCTAAAATCTATTGAGCACAATTCAAATATGTATCACTAAAATCACTCGTGATAATATCGAGTCAAATAAACTGGTTAAAAGATGTTGAACTCGCAGGTCAATTAGATCAGATCAAAACAATCAGTGGCTACATATAATCTTGCCTTATAATTGTAAAGCTCTAATATATCTGATGTACTAATCAGGATTCTATTTTGTCACATTATATCATTTATATATTTACAACTTAATCTTTTTTTTTTTTTTTTTGAGGAATTACTATGTTATAATACAATATTTTTCTGTATGAAAATTATATACCAACTTTTTTATATAATTATTATATTTTAATAAAAACTATTGTATCAAGTAGCCTTTGAACTTTTTTTAATTAATGAAAAACAAAATGTTTATGCTAAATTCGCTTATGCTGTCGCCACAGAATCGGCTACAGGAAGGGTGAGGGTTTGGCTGGTGGAGGCGAGGTTGTTGCTTAAGTTTTTGGCTCCGCTTTGGAAATGCGAAGGCTGGTGGCCAATTGGGAGAAAGAAGATTCTAGTCTCTAGACACGTATTTTTATAATTAATTATTAGCAGTTGGATTGATATAAAATACTATTAAAAATTATTATATCATAATTTATTAAATAATATTAATAAAAATAATATCTAAATACAATTTCAACACTTTGATCTCTAAATCCTTCAATCTCTCGCTGTAGACTCACTGTATAACAACACAACTTGGTTAATCCTAATCTTATGCGCTATGATTTTGACTTCGTTTGAGACAATTTTTTTTTAAACATGTTTTTATTAAAAGAAAATTTAAAACTAATTTTTTTTACTAAAAAACTGCTTTAAAAAATAAAAAAAACTATAACAAATAAAGTCTTAATTATCTTTCCTATAGAAATGATTAGAAACATTTGACTTATGTTAAGAAAGGTAGGGGTAGACCTAAAAAGACTTGGTTAGAAAATATTAGAAATGATCTTTCTTTATTAGATTTAAACGAGAATTTGACTTTTAATAGGACACAATGAAGAAAAAGGATTCATGTAGCCGACCCCACGTAGTGGGATAAAAGCTTGATGTTGTTGTTGTTGACTTGTTGTTGCTGTCATTATTGTGAATATATTTGATTTTATTCTTAATTTTAAAAAATAGTTATTTATGTTATGAAATAGATTTTATGATTTTATCAAAGGTTGTGAAAATCGGACCGAACAACAAAAATCGGAGACCATCTGAACTCCGATTTCAGTAAACTTATAGTCGAACTGAACGTCTCAAAAATACAAACCTAACGACACCAAATTTAACTCAATCCGAACCCAAATGATTCTAAATCAAAGACCCGAAGCATATTTGGAAGGTTCAAACCATAATTTGGATTACCAGACGGTTTCCAAACATGACATGCTTATAGTCGAATCGAGCGGCTAGGCAAGAAAAATCCAACGAGCCCAAGAAGATCGCTGAATTTTGATATCACTAAGACATTTAAATGCCCAATAAACGGTTCACGATCAAGAAATTTAACATCGGCCATCTATTCAAATCACTCACATTTAATTTCCTATTCATTTACATTTTTTTTTATATTAGCTTAATCTTATATTGATTCGATCTTAAAGAGATTTTATGATTTTTTTTGT